AACAAGCGTTTCACTCGTTACGCTGCTGGCTTCTCTGTGTTGCTGGGCAGCAGCAGTCCACAAAGAGTCACGTAATCAGGGGGGGGGGGTGATCACACCTCACCTGGAGAGTAGTTTGCCTGGGCTGTGCTGTCTGTTGTCGGTTGAACACTGCTTCTAACAAGGGGTCCCACACCTGCTCTCCCTTGTGGGCCCTTCTTGGAAGATCATCTGTGTCCCTTTCTTGTTGTTGGTTCTGTGTAACTCTGTTCACAGAACATAGTCTAGACTTAGGGATTTTCGACGTTGTACTGAGGTTGTGTGTCTCTTAGACACTCTGAGAAACTCAGGTCCTGAGCTGTAGTTTCTGACCTAAATTGTACTGGTATCTGTGCACTGTCACAGTCAGGGATTTTCTAATGCTGAACTTAGATTCAGTAGTATGGGAGTTTTGTGACTTTTGTGGAGGATCTGCAGATGGTCCCTACCTAGTGTCGTTATATTATCTCCTTGTTCCTTATTCTTTGTTGCTGTTGCTTGTTATATTGCTGTTCGGCTTAACAGTCGCCTTATTGTTCAAGTAAACTGTTCTGATTGCCAGTTTGGTCAAGAAGTTAGTTTATGTGAGGACTTTTAGTCAGTCACTTGTTAAGTCTAGTCGAGTCTTGAGACATAGCCAACTACTTAGAGCACTTACACACATATATACAAACTTACTTGTATATATATGTATTATGTTATTAAATGTTAACAGTGTACGAGACGGTACTTAAAAGCCATTAAGATGTGATATGTGCCTTCAGCACAATACTACTGTACACGAGAGAAGTGTAGGAACTTGTATCCTATATTATATTCAGTTAATTGCTTTAATGTACTTTGATAATATATGCCTAGACAACTTAATTGTTAATAAACTTATTAAATTTTAATTACTTTAGTTAGTAACCTACCAGTTGTAATCCTGAACTACTATTGAATCTTACTGAACTCTAATGGATAATTGGACCAGGATACTGACTAATTGTTACAAAAACCCAGTAACAGATTGGATGCTTGAAGAGCAGTCCTTTCTAGTGTTCACTGGAGATCTCTATGCTTATTAGATATCACGTTTTTTGTAACACATGTCGACAAGTACTGGACACTATACACACAACAAAAGAAGTAAATAAACTACTGAGTGCACTAGATACCTTGAATTCAGAAAGACAAGTCACTATCTGTCCATGATTTTGAAAAACAGTATCAGAAATACTATCTACACCATGAGCTAAAATCTACAAGTCATTTGATATAGGAGTAACAGCGAGAGGCGTGTGACAGAACATAATGTTGTTTCGGTATTTAAGAAAGAAACAGACAGAAAACATTAAAACACATGCCAGTGTTACTGACATATACACAATATTATTTAACAGAGAGGATAATCAGAAGAAGAATGGTGGAGAGCCTTGAAAAGCAGTGTCATAAGTAACAACCAGTACAGGTTTAGAGATTGTAACTCCTGACTCACAAGCCTGATGGCAAGGTAACATCCGTGAGGCAAAGAGAATGGAAGTTAGTTTAATATGTTTATTCTGCACCCCATACCCATCTTGTGGGTGGTAGTCAAAGTATGGGCATAATGGGTATGGAAGGATTCCTGATACCTCACCCAAGAGCCTTGGAGGGAGCATAGTACCAAGAATATTGACCAAACAAAACAAGATAGCTTCTGCACAATATTTTCATTTGGCAAATCTATGTTTAGCTTACAGGAATCCTAACAGTCGTTTATGACATAATATTCAACATATGCTGAGCCATCATGGAGTATGCAGCGCCAGAATGGAACCCGTACCTGATCAAGCATGTCAAGACTCGGGAAATATTTAGAGCTATGTGACGGATTGATAGGGTGGGTGGACGCGGACAGGCTGGTAGAAGAGGAATTGGAAGTGGAAGAGGAAGTGGAAGTGGAAGAGGAAGTGGAAGTGCAAGTACAAGAGGAAGTGGAAGCCACTTATTGTGAAACGTTTGCTTAATTGTTTCGGATCAGTTCATATCTGTCTTGAATCTACAACCGAGAAGAGATTGTTTTGATAGGCGGGACACGAAGTACACGAGGATATGGCAGGAAGTTAAAAACACAAATGAGTTACAGGGATGTCAGGAAGTATTTTTTAAGCCTCAGAATAGTCAGTATTGAACACTGGAGTGATAGAGGCAGGACCCACACACAGCTTTCAGAAGAGACATGACAGTTCTTGTAACTTGGAGAGAGTAAACCCAGTTTGAGAAGCAGTGCCAGGAGCTGAAACTTGATATCTACAACAAGAGATAAGTGAATACACACCCATTGCACCGCCGCCGCCGACCCAGCCACCACTACCACCACCAACACCACCACCACTACTACCACCACTACCACCACTACCACCACTACCACCACCAACACCACCAAACCCCTACTACCACCACTACCACCACTACCACCACCACTACCACCAACCACTAAACCACCACCACTACCACCACTACCACCTACCACTACCACCACTACCACCACCACTACCACCACCACTACTACCACCACTACCACCACTACCACCACCAACACACCACCACCACTACTACCACCACTACCACCAACACCACCACCACTACTACCACCACTACCACCACTACCACCACTACCACCACTACCACCACCAACACCACCACCACTACTACCACCACTACCACCACAACCACCACCACTACCACCACCACTACCACCACCACTACCACCACTACCACCACCACTACCACCACTACCACCACCACTACCACCACCACTACTACCACCACACCACCAAATACCACCACCAACACCACCACCACTACTAAAACCACCACTAACCACCACACCACCACCACTACTACCACCACTACCACCACTACCCCACCACTAACCACCACCACCACCCCACCACCACTACTACCACCACTAAACCACACTACCACCACCACTACACCACCACTACCCACCACCACTACCACCACCACAACTACCACCACCACTACCCACCACACCACACCACCACCACAACTACCACCACCACAACTACCAACCACTACTACCACCATACCACACCACTACCAAACCCCCACCACCACCAAAACCACTACCACCCCACAACTACCACCACCACCACACCACCATCACCACCACCACCACCACTACCAACACTTTCACACACCACCAACCATACCACACTAAAC